AGCGGAGCGCAGACTGACGTAGTGTATAGCGGAGCGCAGTCTGACGTAGTGTGTAGCGGAGCGCAGCCTGACGTAGTGTATACTTTAATTGAACCCGTACTTTTTTTATCGATGTGGTATATGGGGCGTGAATAAATACAAAGAAGTCTCTGTCGTAATGAACAAAGCCTGCAGATATTTTTTTAGGTACCTCTTGTCGAGCAAGTAACTTGGCACTACGAGGCGATATGGGATGGCACTCTTGTAACGTAAATCAGTTTTTAGAAATAATACGTTTATTTTTAAGAATAAAATCTTGTGATGATAACAGACTCATGAAAAAGGTACATACATGGTCAGTAGGCCTGAACAAATCTTGGGACTCTAGAATTTTAAAAACGATTAATGATAAGAATTTAAATGACATCGTTAACTCAAATTTTTCTGTCAAACACAGGATTGGAAAAGTGAAAGAAAAGTTAAATATTCTAGATGCTGATGAATGGTACAAATCGGTGTGGAATGATAGCTTAAATGCAAATGGTAATAAATTAAGAACCTAGAGAACGTTTAAATCAGAGCTAAGACCTAGCTTATTTGTCAAACTGGTTCGCCAGAAAAGCAAACGAAGGGTGCTATTTAATTTTAGATGCGGCTCGCTACCCCTAGCAGTTGAAACTGGTAGATTCACCAAACCGGTGATTCCTCTTCAAGAACGCATATGTAAATTGTGTACAAATCTAAATAACTGTATAGAAGATGAATTCCACTTTTTAATGAAATGTACTGTGCATAATGATATTAGATCAACTCTATTTGATGTGGTAAAAAACATATGTACCGATTTCACTAATCTTAGTGATGCAGACACATTCAAGTACTTAATGTCTTCTGAGGAACTACACATACCACTATCAAATGATTTGTATAACATGTACAGACGACGCAGTTCTTTGTGCGTCTAGTATTTTACTACAATGCAACTAATTATTTAGTGTCTCGTAAGCCGTATCCGGCTGAGTATCACATTAAATTACATGTTTTATTTAAAAATACATTTTTTTTACCAGGGATCAATGTAGGGGTTTGGTTTATAAGTGGGTAAGCTCCCTTTAACTTTGAAATATTCTTAAATATATTAAAGCCATTGATCAATGTTTAAAGTTTATTTTTCTCTATCGTGTTTTAAAGTTGTAAATGTACCTTTGAGATGGGACTTCGAAAAGCCCTCGCCAGTAGGGACTGGCCCAACCGCTTGAAGCTAATCGTTTTCTCAATTTCCTTTTAACCTGTTATAACCATAGGTCATAGACCTTGAAATATTATTTAATTTGTTAATTATTGATCAATACTAAATTTTGCCCTTTTAACCGTGTTTTAAACTATTAAATGTAACCTTAAGAAGGGACCTCGAGAAGCCCTCGCCGGTAGAGCTCTCCCCAACCGCTTGGAGCCAATCGATTTCTCAATTACTTTTAACCTGTTATTCCTTTTTTTAAACTGATAAAAAAAAAAAAAAAAAAAAAAAAAAAACATCGTATGATTGCAGTGGCGCAGAGCGACCTGTCTTCGCTGGTAGGGCTCTCCCCAACCCTAAGGTAGCGCACTTTGAGTCACTGCAACCCACATGTTAATAATAATAAAAGGGTAGTCTCACAATAATCTAATGTCGATATTGATCCATATTACAAGGTTTTTTGTTGTTGTTTTTTTTATGTTAAACAAACTATTTTAAGTTCTAGGAAACAGTCAACTGCAAGTATTTTATATGTACCAATGGAATTGATTTATATTTTGTACAAGTATTTTATATGTATTAATGAACATAAATGTAATTGTGATATGTGACACTTAAATAAACAAATTGAACTTGAACTTGTATAGTGGAGCGCAGTCTGACGTAGTGTATAGCGGAGCGCAGTCTGACGTAGAGTAGCGAAACTAAGGCCCTAGAACCATTTTTTTTTTATCAAGAGTTATCTCCCTTCCACCAAAATGATGTTGAGTATTATTATTGTTAAAGTGCCCGTACATATATTAAAAAAACCTTCCCGTGAACATTTATATAAATAAATAAACAATTTAGTTTAATTAAAGCTGGAAATCATGGGTGGAAAACAGCAAAAAGATGTCCATTCTTCATAGACACAAAGTATGTCTGTCTATACATGCATGTGTATTTCCCTATCAAATAGTCAGTTCGCAAATCTACTTAGTAAAAAAATGTGAATACAATATCACCCGGTAATGTTTACGCTAGACTGATAATAAATAAATAAATAAATAAATAAATTATCATGTAGATCTGAAATAATTACAAAAAAACAACTGTTTATCCAACAAGCCTTTTATTCTTGTTTTTCCCGATTTCTGATACTCTGATTTATTAATCTATTTATGTATTTGTTTCCTTCTTATAAAAATGTTTACTTGGGCGTCATGGACCCGAATCGTAAGAAGAAACCAAACTGGAGTAAGTATTAAATGAGGTCAGATTGTATGTCGATTGTCTATGTTGATTGTCGGAGCCGTGAATTCAGACGAAAGGAGATAGGGGCAAGTCGATAAAAACCGACAGACCAGGCGATTGCCTACCGACCCGCGTTCCGACGTCGGTGGGTAGATAACGCTTAATACACCATGTATGCGAGTAGTCAGGTGTACCTGTAGCCACATACTTCGATATGAGTGTACTCTCATCATAAACCGCTTCGCGGTTTATTTAGAGTACACTCCGTCTTTTTGTGTTATATCTCCATAACATAAAAAAATATATTCAAGTTAATCCTTAAATATATGCTAATGACGTCACGATTGACAACAAGGTTGCGCGCCATTTTGAATGGTCTCTGATACAAAACAGCAACACACACTTTTATTGTTTCTGCTATTTTTTGGTAAGATTTGCTGTGTAGCTAGCTACTTGCATTGGTGTTTATAGCAAAAATGTACCAAATCCGTCGTTTATTCTACCATCGCTTTATTTGCTTTTGAACAGAAAATCTTCGGCTTCGAATGAAATGAATAGTATTTATCCTTCTGATTGGTCAACACCATATGTGATATTTTTACACTATAACACAAATATTACTTTTTACATTGGTCATAGTGTGAAAGATATCGATGTTGGTAGAACTCGATATCTCCGGTAATAATTGAATACAAGTTCATATTTTTATTTCAGAATAAATTTATCTTTACTACTTGTCAAAATACAGTCCTTTCTCGTAGACTTATCTCCGTTATATCAGTTAATTAAAAAAAAACAATGACGTATGCCTGCATCACCCACAGAAGGTATGCAGTACACTGTATTTACGCCGAAGTGACCTTCATCCCTAGGTCAAAGGTCAAATTAGCATACAATGTATTACAGTAAAATCCAGTTCGGATCAATAAATTATATACCGATACAATAGTATATACTGTTTCTTGAAGAACCTTAAAGTTTAGCTGTATCAAACCGGGAAGATATACAGTGTCCTGTTTTAAGTCCACGTGACCTTCATGTCAATGTCAAAGGTCAAATAAGGATATAATTTGTTTTTTGTTAAATTCTTGTCCTGGTAATTAAATTATAAACAATAAAAATGTTCATCTTGATGGAACACGAGGCTTACCTGCATCACTCACCACAGAAAGTTTATAGTGATTGTTCACTATGACCTTCACCTCTTCGTGAAAGGTCAACTGAGAACAGAGTTTAATACATATATCTTGCTCATGTTGTTAGTATTAAACCATTAAAAATGAATCATTTGGTTTGTTTGTGTTTTACTTCCTACTAACAGCTATCCTCATTAAAGGACGTACAAGGTTTAAGTGATGGAGGAAAGCCGGAGTACCCGGAGAAAAACCACGGACCTGCGGACAGAACCTAGCGACTGCCCCACGTTATTCTCGAACCCGCGACCCAGCGGTGGAGGACTAGTGGTAGCAGAATTTCAGATGCCTTAACCACTTGGCCACCACGGCCCCTTGAAAAATGAATCAAGCTTAAAGGCACATTTTCACTAAACCTTCGTCAGTCGCCGAGATGTGCAGTAGACAAAAACCAGATTGTCATGATTCTAAAACACAGAAAGAAGTTCAGCATAGTAAAAAGAACAAAACTGGTTTATTAGGGGACAAACGGTTCTAAACGTATACGAAAAAAATATCTTATTTTATTATATCAGTAACACAGATATTTCAAGAGAAAATGAAGCTTACAAATATTACGAATGATCGTACTTCAAACAAACATTCACCATTTACACAAATGCTCCACGTGAGGAGGGTTCCAATACAGCAAGGATATGTACGGTGTCAATGATGACACTTGATAGCGTTGGACATTGTCGTATCCGGGTACATGTAAGTGGAGTTGTTTTCGATAAGCGCCCCTCCCCTTCATACTTGGGCTAGCTAGAGAGAGGGGGTGGGGTTCAAATGACGTTACGTGAACATAAGCTTCTTAACCAATACCTTTGACTGACCCGGGATTTCTGACAAAGGGAAAGGTGAAATACTGGTCTTAATTGACGTTCTACACTAGAACGGTTCACACAACTATAAAAAGGCATACCTACCACTGTTTGCAGATTCCAGTATGCATATCCAATGGAATCACACGCTAACGGTCAAAGACAATGAAATAGCGTTATGAAGACATCTTATTGTTTCAATTTTAGAAATTGAAAACAATTTGTATACAATGTAAGATCCTAAATGATCACTATGAGAGAAACAGCAAGACAACATCAAACGTGAAGATGAATTCTAACTAGAAGAAAAAGAAATAAAAAAAATATGTTTATATCATGAATCGTATTTCTCAAGCTATGAAACAGAAACTGAAATCCAAGCAAACAAATCACGTATAAAATGTATTAGGATAGCGTTTCCATGAATATGTGCATTCGAAATATTCTGAAATAATCAGCAACCTCCATCAGCTACACACAAGCCTACAGGGTGGTGTTTGTGTTGTTCTCCTTCCATATTTGTGTATGTCGCTATCTGATCAGTGTCTAACACTGGCTGTTGCGGGATTACTCTGGCCAGTTCACCTGCCCGTGTTTTCTCAGATAACGTCCCCGAATGTTTCCTGATAACGGCTCCACATATAGGGACAGATAGAAAACTGACTAATACACACACACCGACATTTTAAAATTGCCTGATATCATTTCCTTGTGTTGTTCCTACATTACAATCAGATTCCATTCGTTTGTGGATATATAAGATGAATACATCTCTCTAAAGGTAAGTCTGTTACACGTGACTTTAAACTAACACACCTGTTTGTTTACTGCGTCATATAAAAACCCGCCTTTTTTCTATCCGCTAAAAAAATATCGATATCGAAACCTATCTAGATAACGTCTAATTGGATAAGGTTTAGGGTTTGGTAGTTTTATGGAGGGAGGGGAAACGGCTTACTTGTCATTGTTATTTATGTGCTTGTTTGTTCAGTTAACGGTTTCCTTTCAAAAAAGAAAACGCTCGGTTGTATGTCACAGACCCCGGACCAATCCTATGATTAATCACTTGAATGTGATTCACGACATCTAATTTCAACATTTTAAGGAACTCTTTGAAGGGTAAAAACGGTATCATAATTATGCGGATCCCGGGGTTAGGGATACAAACCCATTGTACCCATACACCCACCACGGTATTTCGTAATGGCTAAACTCTTTTAAAACTTCGACATATTTGTCATTTCGCCTCCCCTCTTTGAATCTGTGATGAGTCCCCCAAACCGAAGCAGCAGCATTTTATTTGCTTTTGTTTTTACGTAGGAGATACACATAGAATAAAGTTGTATTCATAGCTGTAACAAACACCCTAACATTGCACACTGTATACAGTATTTGTACACGTACACATATGTCGAATTGAGAACGCTACTACTTTCTAAGGTGCGAACAGAAATCAATAACAAGCGACCTCTATTTTTTTCCTTGAATCGCGTGCAATCATTCCTTAAAGTCATATCTTTGCTTAATCTGTCGCAGTTTTTATCATATGAAATAGGTCCTATTGAATAGGGCAATGCGGACATGACTTCCTTTTGTTTTATCATAGCACTACGCCATGGTGCATGCACAATTTGTCTTTGCTCTTTTATCGAACACATTCCCTATTTACATGGTGTTGCGGAAGGACATGTGGACACAACTTCCACAGATAGTTTCGGATTTATGAATTAATGCCCAATGTTTTTATTATTCCTCTAATCAATTAAAATATAATCTCACATAATACTTCAACTCTGGTGCATATGATTTTTTCCCAAAGAATTCCGCAATATCAAACCTGTAGATGCCCCCTTTTGTAAGTGTTTAACAGGAAGTGTTTGTTTGACGACTGATAACATGCGCTAAACGCACACAGGTATGTATCAAGCGTGTATTGATCATGCTCGGTAGAAACTGGTTTGCCTGTGTTCTAGAGTATAAGCGGCTTTCCCCCCATGCATTTAAGCGGCCTATTGGCTATCCGTGCTTGAGACCGAACAAATGATGACGGTTACAGTTTTTTTTGTGTAAGGGAGATAAATGGTTATACATACGATGTGTCTAAAACTTAATATTGGACAGGAATAAATTGATCGAGAGTGCTGACAATAAAACATCACCTTATCGGTGCGTGAAGTATAAATTATATAATGAAAATATCTTCCAAACAGTTTATTTTCTTTTTTTTTTCTGCCCATTTCCCATGTCAAGATTTAAAAAAAAAAATCTCCTTCTCCTACAGAAAAGAACATTTCTTGTAGTTAATGTATGCACGTATAGAGAGTGAAAACAGTAAACACGTTGTTAGCGACATCATAAAAAACATGCGCGTTTCTTTTATTTGCTATTTGTGCTTTAGAATATTGTTTTAGGAGGCACTGTAGTCTCTAGGGGTAGGACGACGGGCTCGTGATCGACGGGTTGTGGGCTCGAGTCACGTCACGGAAATGTGTTGTATCTTTGGACAAGATACTTTATTCCGCTTGTTCCAGTCTACTCAGCTGTAAATGAGAACGTGGTTGGGCAGTGCTGGTAATGGTTGAATGCTAGCTATGAGCGCCGAAATGGCAGCACCGGCTGTATGCTCCCCAGGGAGTTGAGAAAGATATTGGCTGGTTGCAAAGGCCCTATTACTACGGATACAAAATTAGTGAAGCGCTTTGAGACGACCTACGAACTAGGTTGTGATGAAGCGGTATATAAGAAACTCGAATTACTACTTATTATTATAATAGTTTTATATGATTTGTGAGGAACCGTATTGGACCAAACCTAGGAGGCACTTTTTGCTTAGACAAATACAATCAAAAGATAAAAAAGAGCGATTGTTTAGCAATCTCAAGACGTGGGTTAGAATCCCAGTCAAGCCTCACTGATTTGTTTCGTTCAAGACACTGTTACTGGTCATGTTTTTCGTATTGTTTCTTTTACGTTAAGTCCAGCAAAGTATGGTTTTCATTTTAGAGACGATTTATCAATTCAATCGTATATTACTGGAGGAGAATTCCATAGCGTATTAACTGTTTCTGACAGTGGAACGCGGATCCTTAACGCGTCTTAATGCAACAATGTAACATTAAACATATACATCTGAAACCATATGGTAAATCAGTGGTGGAGGGTATAGCATACCCTGATGGGAGTAACTCCAACTTTTAAAGAAGCCGCCTTAATGCACAACATGTTGCGGTAAATCAATCTGACTTACATGCGTCATATACCTAAACCCGGATGTAGTCATATGCATACATTAATCAACATATCTTTGACCCATGTGGTTAAAATGTGGATCGTAGTGTTGTTATCATATGCTGTACAATATCACATGCGTTTGTGCACCCAACTGAAAACTGAAGATATTCATATCGTTATCACGTAAACAAATATATTAAATTACATGTATAGTAGAATAGTAAAAAAAAATCAGTCATGTTTTCGCCCGAGGAAGACATACCACCATAACCATGGTGGGTTATACTATACACCGGATTTCAAGGTATTTCTTAATAACATCCTTTGAAAAATATGTATGTAATATGTACACTGGGTCGGCGCACAAACATATGTGTAATACTCTTGTAGAGCATCTAATAATAGCCCTGCAAACCAATTTTCATTAATATAGGTCAGAGAGTTATTGGTATATGGCTACTTCCGGTTTTCACATGTGCGCCCGCAAGTAGAGGTGTGGAACATATTAACCATTTCTGATGCATTTAGTAAGATTTATTTGCATCAACATGTGATGCATTAAAGTTAAACATGGCGTCTTCCCTGTGAGTTGGAATTATTTCAATAAGGGTACACTATACCGGTATTCCACAACTGACGTATTATGCATACACTTAAGCATTGAACTGTTTTTGTATGGTATTTATGATCTATTTGAACGACACAGCTTTGCAAGCAAACAAATCATAATGCGCAAAGCTGTGTCATTCAAATAGATAATAAATACCACACGAAAACAGTTCAATACTTATATTTACGTTTTCTCTGCCTCTTATGTTCTTTTTTAACTCATAATTTATATTTAAAATTAAAAATGCCCGCCTTATCGACAGTCCACACAATTTCGTTCAACAGTTTGAACAGCGTTTTGTCGCGTGCTGATTGGCAAACAAAGCAGTACTTTGAAATTTTAACAAACACTTCAATTTTATTCCACAATTCAGTATCAATACAATTGCGTATGATATGTATAAGGTGATTTAAGTTTATCAATAGAACTCCGAGCTGAAAGTTAGATTTTAAATTGTTTCGATTTTCCCCCGGAACAAATTTCCCGTATGGAAAAATACAGTGAACACCGTAAATTCGACCTTGCCCTCCACGAGGGAGTTATTTTTGGATTTTTTTGTGAAGAATCCAGGCGTGAATTTATTTGTTGATTGTATGGGAACAGTCGGTAGATTCTATAACAGCCTCGTTATTTGACCTGTCGTCAGAATTAAACTGAGGAAACGTATAGATGCGAGACGCGTAAACCTGATAGCGTTTGAAGTGAGTGATCTTGTGACGGAGTACAGGTTCGTTACAAATGTCTGAAATGTTTATGTGTGCTGTAACTCATATCAGTAGGTCTGTAACATATGTGTCAGTAGGTCTATAGAATATGTGTATTTCAGACATTTGTAACGAACCCCTGTTGACCACTGCAGTGTAAAACAGGATATTTCTGATCAATTGCATGAGCGTTAAAATTGTTTCCATTGCCGGCATTGGTGATTTCAACCGATGTGCATTTTGTACGATATTGGTCTTGTTTTCGTTGTAATAAAAGTGTTTGTTTGTTTGGTTTTTTTTTTTTGCACATAAATTTACAATGACATTATCAAATCTCACAATGCCCTGCGATATTTCAGCAGCCGTCATGTTTATTTATATTGGATATTGTAGTTCCGGCCAGTGTTGTATTAATACGCTAAGAATTGTGTCTCGTGATGGATGGTAATTAAAGTCCCACCAACGACACAGCTTTCAAAGAGGCTATATAGTGACAATGCCATGCAAATGTAAATATATATATATGCTTAATGCTTTTTATATGAAATAACACATGTTGATGCATACGGGGGTCTAACATATAACATTACATCACTTTATACATTGGACATTGCTATAAATGTTTTATAGTTTATCTTGTTTGAACATTGATTTGAATCATTACTGAGAAAAAGACTAGAAAACCAAATGTGGAATCTCATATCTGTAACACGTGTTTAACAGGTAAATCTTGAGTGCCAAACGACATCACAATGAAATTTCACAATTCCTGTTCTTTCGGCTCAGACAGTATTGATTATAGCTTCACAAATATCACCAATTGATTGAAATTATAATAAAAACAATGCCAAAATATTTGAAGTATTATAAAATAAATTGTATGCATATAGTTTAAACGTCCTAACAGAAGGAATTCTGTGACCACAGCACTCTGTTTTTACACTGGTCATTGGACTGCTTTCAGTTGGCATTCATAGGCAATATGAATGACAGCTTGATAAAGGCAAACTCAATGAAGCGCGCAAGCGTAACATTAACCTGTTAAGACATCGTAAGGTAAAGTAAAATGTTAAACAAGAAACAATAACAAGTGGGCAATGTCTTAGACGACAACAGACCATTGTTTTCACCTAAAAAACATATTGATTACTAATAGATCGAAATTTGCATCATTTTTCGATGAAAGCTTTCACCATGGCAACACCTTCACTAGCAAACAAATATCCTTCTTCAGTC